TGGGAAGGCTGAAGCGAGGGGGAGGCACAAAGCCCGGTTCAGGTCATGGTCGACCACGTCCGAGATGAGGAATTGGGGGTCATTGACTTTCGACCCTGGCATCTCAAGGGGTCCCTCAGGCACAAGAGGGACCTCCAAGTTCGCGGTGACCTCAGCGCCCTTTCCTTTATCCAGGCGTTGAGGCGCCCGAAAGGACCTCTCAACTGATGAAGGGCCTTCTGGTCCCTCCGTCCTCTGTCTCTTGGGAGCCGGGGTGATGACAAACTTTCCCCGGACGGGGACCTCGGCGGCGTTGGGGGCTGGGTCGGCCTGGGCCTCCAGTTGCCTCGATGACTTGGAGGAGTCCCCTCCTCCTCTCTTCCTCGGCTTAGGAGGGACGAGGTACTTCATGGTGGAAGGCACGGCTGCACACAAAAAAATGTTAGATCCAAGAGTTAGATTCAGCTAAGAGATAAGGGGAAGTAAGTTCCAGCTTACCACTGAGGATGTCTGTCAGGGGTTCAATAGGCTGGCGCTGAGGGTCGAGGGTAACCACCAAGCCGTAGCATCAACGGTTCTTGGGGGTATTAAGAACGGTGGAGCTTCGGCTGGACTACAAAAGGGACAAAATCTGCTCGACCCGTGCTAGGGCAGCTAAAGAAAGCTTCGGTCGATCGCAGACTTCACCTATAGAAAAGAGCAAAGTATGTAAGATAGTCGACAAATGGAAGGATGTCACGAAAACTCAACAGATAGGAGACCTACAGTATTTGTTGAATATTGTATGTGTCCCCAATGGACGCAATCCGTTGAGCGGGTAAGAATTAAAGTTGCCACCCAGGAAAAAGAACTGGGGCTTTCACCCGTGGCAATTGGAAGTCTTCTCGACCACGACAGGTGGGACTGGAGGTTTGGATTTGGAGTGGGCTTCTAAGTAGAAGAACCCCCTCTGACCGGGGGAGGCTCTAAGGGCATAGCAGTACAAAAACTCCTCGACGGTTATGTCAAGGTTCAAATGCTTTCTCCACAAAATAATCATGTAGTTTATTGTCACCCAGCAGTTGGGTGACAATTGAGCAGGGGAAATCCTGTGAAGGCCACAAAGGGCCTTCACAAAAGGATGAAAGGGCAGGGTCTGTCCAAAACTGAGGGAACGCGTATACACAGTCATATGTTTGGCAGGGGGGTTGTGGGCCCTATCGTTGAGGGTTGGGATGATCAGGTAAAATTTGTTGGCATCAATCCCCGCATCGTTGAACGCCCTCATGGCAACCGGGGGCTTAATCTTTGACGGGTTGACGTCTGTAGCCATCCCCGAAATGCCACTGGTCGACGCCACCCCATAACTGCGTCCCTCGACAGGACTGACCTTCAGGCCCTCGTCCTCATCGTCGAGGAGAATTAACTCATCCGACCAAGAGGTCGAGACCGACCCCTCAGCATACTCCTCCACCTGACGGAAGAGGGAGTCCGCGGTGTCACCTGAGGACGTGCTCAACGTTGCAGCTTCCTCAAGGTCTTCCTTAACTCTGGAAGTTGAGACATCTCGACCTCTAACTTGTTTGGGCGGCATAATCTGAAAATAAGCATAGAATGGGTCGAGGTAAGTACCTAATGGTCGAGAGGCCAAAAATAGAGTCTGAAAAGAGAATGCTCGGGATAGATATCCTAGAGCCCGGAACTTCACCACTAGGTTCACACAACCCAGAAATGGGTTTCCAACCCATGAATGAGGAAAAACTCACAAGGGTCCCCAGGAACCCAGAAGTGAGTTTGAAAACCTCGACGTGGTCGACTAAACCCAAGTAAGAGCTACCACGACAAGATTCAAACCAGATAAGCACAACATTGTTTAGGTAAGTTCATTTTATTGTTGTATAACCCTTTAGAGTGCTAGTTTTTGCAGGAACCGAGTTCAAAATCGCACCAAGAAATAAAAGAGAGCCAAAAGACTTACTAGTTCTCGAAACATGGTCAGAAAGCCCTGAGATTGTGAGGGAGAATCACGAACAGGTGGTGCGCACAGAGGTTGAAGTCGGAGGTGGTGATTCCTGGGGAAAATCCGGCAGAGTAACGGTGTTCTGAAGAATGGACAACCGTAGAACTGTGTCAAAGGGTATATCTATACGTCCTAAGGGGAACCCAGGAGGCTCAGGGAAGTCCAAACAACGTCAGATCTCGACCGTCAAATTCAAACCAACCTCATCCAACGGTGAATCTGAAAAGACGTGATCCAACGGCTGGGATGAGAGCGGGAGAAATGAATCTGATCGGACGGCTGCAACTTCCCCATCGATTGCCACATGTCGCCAGGGTACGGGGGACGTGACCGTTGACATGATCGACGAGATTGCTCCAATGCCCGAGGAACTCGCTGTAATGATGGCACTGTACCTATGAGCGGCCGCCATAGTTTGCAGGAGGGAACCTGCCACGTGGAGCTCTCGACGTTGTATAGCCTGGAACATCACAATATGATGTCCCAGCCTAGGGGTAATTATTACACCACGGTCGAGGAATCGACCATTCCTTTGGGTGACAAGCACCGAGGCCTCCCCGTTGAGAATCGGTCGCTGGCGTCGAGGGGACGGATGTACCTAGGGTGCCCTTTAAACGTCGAGAGTTTGTGTATGGATAACGCACGTCGAGAGCCCCGCTCGGCTGGCGAGGGCCACGACGTCGAGGTAGCAGCCCCGTCCAATCCGCTGTCAGACTAGAGAAAGATACACTGTACCACCTATCGCCACTATTGAGGTCAGGAAATCAGGTAATTGGTAAGGGTGGATAACCTGACCAGGAAGCAGTAATCATGGAAATCCGACTGCCAAATCCCAGAATTAAGGGATTGATGATGATCTCCTCGGGAAATGCAAAGGGGTCTCTCATATGTACAAGGCCTATAAATAGAGCCATGGGAGTTCATTAAGTTTTTTAGACACATGAATATACTACTCCAGATAGAGTTTGCAATCAAGAAAGCATTAGTGCATTCACAAGTGGATTAGGCAAAGAATATTAGCCGAACCACTATAACTTCATGTCTTCTTTATCTTATGCACCATTATTAATCCTTAATCAACACGTGAGAGATTATTGTGAGTGTTCTCGAAGAGGTAATCCCTTGTTGACTGAAAACCACCATCAACAACTGGTAATAACAATAATAATAATCTATTTCGTGCTGAGAATTTAGACACGTTTCAAGTGTGTGGGATCAAAGGGTGCTTGTGGTGCAAACTTTTCTTGCCAATTTCATCTTCATCGCAGAATCACGATGAAATGACAATAATTAATGTGAATAATAACATAAACATCAATAGTGGCAGTAGTAGGAGTAAGGCTGCTCCGAGGAAGAGAGCGGAGTAGAAGAATTACAAAGGAGCTCGGTAGAGGCCGTGGGGGAAATGGGTCGCGGAGATTAAGAACCCGAGGCGGTCCACAGGGTTCTGGCTTAGGTCGTTCCACACGACAGAGGAGGCGGCACAGGCATACGACAAGACAGCCATTGATTTCCACTGCCCACACGGAAAACTTACAAAATTTGTCCTTTTTCTGTTCCTTTATTATTTGTTTTAGTTTATTTTTTTCCTTATTATTTTCATGTTGTTTAATCGCATGTTCTTTTTCTAATTTTTTTTCTTAAAATATTATGGGTGTGTTCGGCTGCCTAAAAAACTCAAAAAAGGCAACTCGAGTTCCAACTTTATTTAAGTTCATGATCTTTTAAGTTTGAACTCGAGTTTAAACTCGAGTTTGGGACTAAAACTCAAGTTCATGTGTCCCCTTCAACTCGAGTTTATAAACTCGAACTTAAATTAATGAACAATATTTTTTCTATTCTTAAAAATGTTATAACTTTTTCGTTTTAATCCTGATTGAGATGATTTTTTGTCTATGCGTTGACAACGAAAAGACGAATAAAACCACACCCATATATCCTATTAAAATTTTTCATCACCATTGAATTTTTATTAAAATACTATCTAAATACAAATTTAAGTTTTAACTCACTCAAACACAAACTCAAAAAAAGATTATTATCTCAAACCATAACTCAAATGTACACAACCAAACACAAGCTCAAGTTAAAACTTTAACTCATGTTATAACTCAAATTCAACTCAAAAACTACACTCAAGTCACACTCCAAAAGAACAGGCCCTATATCTCTTATGATTAATCCACAAATAGTCTTTGAGGTTTACTCTCAATCTCATTTTGATTCTTGACTTTTAAAATGTCTCTATTTTGGTCTCTTGAAGTTTTACTTTGCTTCAATTTCACTTATTTTGTTAGCTAAATGTTTAATATTTGACAAAATATATGTAAATTAAGAACCAAAATTGCAAACATCTAAATTTCAAAGACTATTATGGAAATCAACTTTTATTTTTTGTATTATTTTAATACCTAAACTTTAAATGTTTCTATTTTAATCTTTAATTCACACAGATTCGGTCAAATATTTAACACTTTGATAACAAAAGAATTGAAATTGAAACAAAGTAAAACCTCAAGACCAATTGTGTGACATTTTAAAAATCAGAGACTAAAATAAGATTGAGAGTAAATCTTATAGACTATTTGTGAGATGAAACTTATCTCTTATTTTGTGAACTGGATCATTAGAACATACTTTTCTTCCAATTTGTCTCTACCATGCTATAATTTTCTTTCCTTCAGCGACACTTTCAATTGTTTTCACTTATAAATTTTGTTTCATTAATTTATCCGTGTTATTTTTTTTTTTTCCAAATGTGTTTGTACTAAAGAAAAAATTAGTGCGACCGTGTCCACTTCTTTCAAGGCAAGACACCAATTTTGCTTAAGTCGGTATGACCCATAGGGTTTAAAACTTGAAGCATTACAAGTGGGTGTGGCAAAAATTCCAACCAACTCCCATCTAATTTTAGAGAAAGGAGACAAACACCGATTAAAGTGCATTGATCTAAATTTTTACCACTTAATCTTGATTAATATCTTTTTTAGTCAAATAATTATATCAATCAAAAAGGCATTAATTAGATAACGAGATAAAAATTCATACTCATGTACTCTAGAGATAAGTTCGAGAATTTTTCTCGGGTAAGTCCGAGAATATTCTCTCTAGGCTTTTCTATAAAAGCAAATAAGATGGTAAAGAAAACTGATTTTAGGCATAATGCATGAACTGGTTAGAACCAACATCAACTTCCTTTTACGTGTATTATTATGGCCGGAGCTCCTCTCTAGATTGCTTTCCCTGTGACAATCAAGAAGGCTTGTTATGCTTGCGACAAGAATTTTCTTCAAATTGGCTTCACTTTGCAGTTGTCGCTTGAACTAAGGCTAAGGTTGATTATTCTAACATCGAAGACCATCTTCGTACAAGAAATGAAACCGCTTAAGATCATCCTCACGTTGCAAGCTATGATTGCTGTTGTAGAGATGCTTGAACGAGTGATGTCAGAGATGGATGGATTCGCGCTGTTCTCAAGGAGCGAGCTTCACTTCTTCCCTCGGCATGTTCCTCTCCCAATGGCCACCTTGGCCTCAAATCATACTGAATCACACAAATAACAACTCGAACCAATATAAAACAAGAAAAGGAAAACAAGGGATTAATGATGGAATACAGTCGCAAGTAATTGGGAGATGTAAACAGACCACAAAATCTTCAGGTTCTTCCGCAGGTGGTGGTGGATCAAATCTTCCCACGCGAAACTGCTCAATACCGGTCCAAGCCACCATTACACCTAGTCAAGTGTATATAGCTCAGGCATTAACTGTAGTGGTAGGGATGAAACATTCCCCAGTTTCATACCATTTTGAACCAAGTGGGTCCTAGTGAAAGACATAATAACATTTGCAGTAGTAGTAGTAAAAGGGAAATATAAAAAAATAAAATCTATGTTCTTTCTCCGTGCACATAAGAAAAGACCTAGCAGCAGTCGTCTCATTCACAGGCTAAAAAAAGAATATACATAAAATGAGGTACCATTGTCAGTACAAAGGCTGGGAGGTGGACACACAAGATGCAAGTTGTTCTTCTTGACAACATGATCAAGTCGAGCCCGAACATACTTATTCGATGCAACGCCTCCAGAAACTACCTGCAGAAGGAGAATATAAACACAAGTTTATTCCCCTGCAGAACACACGGAAAATTATCTCTAAACTGCAATATAAAATTGCTGTTCACATCACCAAATATTTTATAGAAGGTTCAATCTTTAAAGCCCATTCAATTGCTCGGTGGCATCGTTCCTCGAGATGTAATACCGCAACTCGCTGCATAAAAAAAAGCATCAACATGAACACAATGAAATAGCAATAGAAGAGACAAAGTAGTGGAAGAATAAAATATTTACCAAAGGTTAAAGGAGGAAAAAAAAAATACAAGAAAAACATACATATAGCAACCTGAAAGGAGGCAGCAATATCAGCTCGACAGCGTCTATCGTCGCTACTTGCAGAAGAAATAGGAATTGCTGCATTACTGCAGAAATCAAAGTCGGAATTCAAGTAAGAAAGATACAGTCTATCTCCTCATTTTCAAATTACAATATCCGGTCAATTTAAGATGAATGATGTGAATTAAACTCGACATAAAAAGATACTCAAATATGCAAACTACTATGCCTTTTGGGAAGATCAACATACACATTTCGGGATTCAATCGCCAGCCTCACTTGAGTCTTCAGACCAGCATAAGAAAAATTGCAATCTTTATGTTGCTTCATTGGAATCTAGAAAAAACAAGCTACAAAAGCCGGTTATAAACCTTTATGAAGCAACTCTTACACATCCAGTCATGGAAGACAACTTACAGAGAATTTGATTGATTCTGCATCTCCCTCCAGAGCAAGCTCCTCTATAGCTGGCCCGCCACTTCTCCTCATGTCAAGACCAAGCCATTTTGCAGTCTTGTCATATGCCTCTCCAATTGCATCATCTATTGTGGTCCCAAGTTGTAGATACTGACCAAGATCGTGAGCAAGGATGAGTAGATTGTGTCCTCCTGCGGTTAGACAATTGTAAAACATTTACATTAACGCCACAGGCCCACAGGACACGTAAAACACCCAAATTTAAATAAATACACAGTAAAATATAGTTAGTTTTCACCTGAAATAAGCAAAGCCATGAAAGGAAATTGCAAGTCCTGCTCAGTTAATCTAAAGCAAAAACAAATACATTAAACATAGGGAAGCACCTCAAATTACAATCTCTTGGAAGTATAACAACATATATCTAAAGCTTAAAAATGCTTCACTCGCTGGAAAAAGAAATGCATGCAATCCAATCACTATTCACTAGTGAACTACCAAAAGGTGGTTACCCTTGTACCTGGCTACCAGAGCATGAGCTTCCATGTGATGGACACCAATGATTGGTAGATTAAAGGTACCAGCGACTTTACGAGCTTTCCGCACACCAACTGCATTTTAATTGCGGGAATAAATATCCTTAAGACACTTCATAGCAATACCCTTTAGTGAATTTCAATTAGAGTTGCAAAAGTGTGATCGAATTTCAATTAGTTCAAATTACCCCGAAGACAAAGGCTTAAACCAGGACCAATAGTAACAGCAACTGCAGATAGATCTCTCTCAGACAAATTAGCTTTCTCAAGTGCTTCTTGCACAACCTGCAATTAGAAACCAGGAATATAAACAAGCTAGGCATGAAGAACTTAACCATGTCACGTATTTAAGCCACATTTAAAGGTGAACATAGATACATTGAGCTAAAATCTAAATAATCCTATGTTAAAATACAATTAATCACTCAAGCATGCGCAACACCTTCACATAAGTTGAATAATACTACTATTGAAATAACAATTTTTATAATACCATGACAAATAATGTCGAGTTCTTGGGGTACCATTCTAAAGGGTCAAGAAGTAACCCAAGCCCTTTTGTAAAAATGACTTGATAAGAAAGTTCTATTAGTGAAATAACTTTTCAAAAATTCTTATTTGAAAAATGACAATAGAACAACAGGAACAACTACTTTTTACAAACAACGGCCACCCGGTCATTCTTCGTAAACATATAAAACGTCATTTTGTCAATTTTACTTTGTTGGATAGCAAATATTGGGACTTTTCTTTTTCCGCGTACTACCAATAAATAATACGATTTAATAACACACACAGATATATATATATATATATATATATATCTGTATGTGTGTGTATTTAGTACAATTTTGAATTTTATCATACCTGATCAATCACTTGAGAATGTGCTTCTTCTGCCATTTTGGGAGCAACACCTCCATATCGAGCAAGCAAATCTGCCTTAAAAGTAGTCAAGGACTAGATTTAAAAAACCATTTCTACATAGCTTGTTCTGCAACTGAATTTTCTGTCAAAACATTTTTATTAATCCATGACATGAATTCTTCCAATAAAGCTCAACAAACCGAAATAATACACTCACATATGTGAGTATATATATGTATTATATATACCTGAGAAGAGACGACCTGGCTCAGAATTTCACCGCTACTTCTAACCTGTATTCACAAAAATCACGACGAGAATTAAAAAACCAAAAAATCAACAGGTCATTGCGAAAACGACAATATAAGAAGAAGCGAATTGAGAAGCTTACGACGGCAGCGGCGGTATCGTCGCAGCTGGTTTCGATGCCGAGGACGACGAGGTCTTGTTTGGCGGCGGAATTTGGCGACATGGAAAAGCGAGCCGACAAGGAATTGAGAGGAGAAAAGGTCGGAAGAAACGAGGTCGAGGTTCGGAGTGGTCTGAGAGAAGTGAGAGAGAGAGGAAGTGAGGGTGGTTTTGGGTGGTGATTTAGTCGCCAAAGTTTTGACGAAAGCGCCATACTCCTACACGCCATCAACACTGGATTGCTACTGAGAGACAGAGATTAGTTTTGGAGCCTTCACTTTACACGCCGAAACGTAGCGTGATAAGTACTCCAGTTGCTCGAAACGTTTCATTTTCATGGAACTTACTTTGGGCCTCTGAGTTCGGAAGCCTAGTTCAAATGTTGGAGCAGGAAAACGATCCGTTTAGCCCAAAGCCCAATCAAAATTCAAATGCATCTCCCTCTCTTTCTTTCTTTTTGAAAATTTAGGGATGATTTCGATAAAAACTTCCTCTGTGGTATTGTTATTTAAAAACACAAAATTGACCTCATACCACGTATAGTTAATTACTGATTATTAACTCAAGTTTTTTTTTTTTGTTTTTTTTTTTTGTTTTTTTTTTTTGTTTTTTTTTTTTGTTTTTTTTTTTTGTTTTTTTTTTGTGATTATTGATTAACTCGAGTTAACTGGTGATTAATTGGTCAGTTAATAATTAAAAAGATATGGTCTGCATTAGCCTCGCCACCATACGCCTCCTTACCAACGCCGTCGCCACCCAACCCTCAACACGTCTAACGACACTGCCGCTTCAAATTTGCTCGTCGTTCGCTGACCTACAAAACCATGGGAGTCCGGCGATGAATCTCGGCCGAAATCTCCTAGAAATGGCGTCGAAAACTATGACTGGGGATTTTGTTTCTTCCTTCCCGATCGGCCTCTCCACTGCTCACCACCAGCACAAATGTCGTCAATCGCTTCAGAAGATCTCGTCCGATCCACAGTGCTATCGCATGGGGAGTTCTCCAATTGGGGTCGTCGATGGAGACAAGGATGTCGATCTTCATGCTGCATTGTACCGCTAACAAACGAAACGCTAATCTCCTGAGCCCTCATGGATCGAGGTCACTCTCGCATAACCACCTGTCTTGCTTCATCGCTCCGAGAATCAGCTGCTCGGGAATTGCAGACTAGGTTGCAGCACGCAAAATCGGTCGCTAGCTAAATTTTTGATTGCTGTTGTGATCTTCGTTGATGTTGGGAGTTCGCCGCCGTCGGTAACTTCGGGACGGCGCTAACAGAAGAAAGAAGGAAAGGAAGGGAAGAGATTAGGGTTTTTAGTATTAAGGGGCAAAATAGCCTTTTGCCCGTGCAGAAGCAGTGTATACGAAACTTATTAGAGAAAGCTGATTAGGGCACGACAGGCCTTAATAAATGTTATTGGGCCTAATTATCTCTATAAATTATATTCCGTGGCAATTTTACGAGAGTGGAGTTAAAATATAGTTTTTTTTAATAATATTTAAGAATAGTAAAAAAGTATATAATAATTATTTTAATGATATTCTTGTTTATACTATCAAATGACGTAGTAATTATTTTAATGACAATATGACATGTAAAAATTTGCATGCCCTTTCTTTTTCTGTCTTTTTCTCCTTTTGGATGGTAAGGTGAGTTTTCTTTTCTTTTTTTTTTTCTTTTTTTTTGAAGAAGGAGATAAATAGAATTTCTTAGACTGAAGAAAAATAAATGACAAAAATTTTAAATGAGTTAGTAAATAGCAGTAAATTTAGGATTTATTACTTATAAATTTTAAGTTAAGAGAGGAGGATTAGAACTTTAGACTATTATTGCTTATAAATTTTAAGTTAAGAGAGGAGGATTAGAACTTTAGACTAGTCAACAATTACCAAAGAGTGTTGTTATCTCATTTCATTTGTTAGGGTTTTGAAAAATGGGCAAACAATTGGAACCCGAGATCTCAATTTTAAAGTAAGTAGTGGAATTTTTCCTTAAAACAAGTAAAAGATTATCATAAACAACGAATATGTCCAATGTCTATAGCAATACCAAAATAGACCTTTTTCGGTACGCCAACATACTGATAAGTTAAGTTTTATGTCCGTTAGATATATATAAAATCGCGTAAAAGTTAAAAAATACGCAGATCTAACGATTAAAAAAACATGACATAACAGTACGCTAAGCGTGCCATATAATCTCCCTAAAAGTTAACATTTAGATAAATAAATAAAAAAAAGCCATCCTCTAAACGCTTAAAGTGAAAGTTGACACATGCTATATTTTATTATTAACACCAAGTGTAGTATTTTGAAAGAAACTTTTTACCTATTACAAATTCTATTTCAAAATTTAACTAGGACAAGTATAATTTGTAAATTTCTGCCGAAAAAAATATTATAATTTGCAAATAAACACTTTACATTAGAAAAAAAAATACTATTATTAACTCCTTTTGAATCACAATAAATATTATTTAATAATGACATTTGCATTAAAAATAATTATAAACCCAAGTTTTTATTGAGCTAAGCAAAATGCAAAATACAACAACACCCTTTATAAGATAAATAAACAAAAACAAAGACAAGAACAAAAACAAACAAACATGCCGTAATAATAAGGGAGTATTGATTTCAAAAACACCATGAGCAAAAGCCCACTTTAGACATACATTATGTCTTTGCGCAGCCAAATTCATGTGATTAGCAAAACGGCAAGTGAGGCTTTAATTTGGCAGACGCGCGTGAAAATCGGGGGTGTCCTGTCATAAGAGAGAATTATTGTGGAAAAAAACAGGTCAAAAGTCAATCAAATTGGTCAACTAGGCTGAAAGTATAATATGGTATGTCATGCTAGACAACTTGAGCAAACATGAGTTTTCATGAAAAACAGAAAATGACACTTCCAGTTTCTGAGACACCAACAATCATTCTCTATACCAACATGGGACAATCTTTGAATGAAAAAAAAAAAAAAAAAAAAAAAAAAAAAAATTTTGGGGGGGTTT